TCACATCTTAAACTGCACTGTAACTTTTATCCATGTATTTTTTCTTTTAATGTTTATTATCTTTTATTTTTAATGACTGATTTTAAATGCCATTTTCTTAATGTCTTCCATTTTTGTAAAGCACTTTGAATTGCCTTGTGTTGAAAGGTGCTATATAAATAAACTTGCCTTGCCTTGCCTTGCCTTCATTACAATGACTTTTGTTACAGCAAGAATCCCCCTCACACACACATAGGTGAAACACATGCACATTCCCTACTGAGAATCTTTCAGTAAAATGTTTTGCGGAGTGTGTGTGTGAGGTTAATTTTCAGTTGTGTGTGTGTGAGGTGTTCAGTAGTGAATGTGTGTGCAAGGCCAGATGTTTTCAGTACTGTGTAGGGCTGCACGATTTTGGGAAAAAATCTAATTGCGATTTTTCTGACAAATATTGCGATTGCGATTCGATTTGCGATATTTGTTTTTAAGCGACCCAACGGAAGTTTATTGTAAAATGCGGCCATATCTCCGGCTAGGAAGGTCGCATCAACATGCTCCCGTCTCTAGCACCCCCGCAGCCCGAGCTACGAGTGAAATAACTAAACTTACATGAAACTTCCGTTGGGTTGCTTTCAAGTCAAGCTTCAGTTTAAGATTCACCCTGTAATAGATGTAAAACATGTGATGGAGCATTACTAACCTGACCTCTAGGAAAGCTCCATTGGAAGCCATTTGGAAAGGGCAGGCACTTTCAAAAATACTTGGCAAGTGATTGGATCAATCTGTCTATCACCTTCTATCATGGGCCACTTCTGATTGGTTAACAATGACTGGTACATGTGGAGCACAGCACTTCTGATTGGTGTGGATGACTGACACACAAGAAGAACAAAAAAAAAAAAATGTAAAAGAAAGAAAAACAATTTTTTTTCAAAAAAATCGCAGGCTTTGCGATTTGATAATCGCATCATTTCAAATCGCGATTTCGATTTAAAATCGATTAATCGTTCAGCCCTAGTGTACAAGGCCAGATGTTTTCAGTAGTGTGTGCGTGTGAGGTGTTCAGTAGTGAATGTCAGAATATTTCAATAGTGTGTGCGTGAGGTTTAATTTTCAGTTGTGTGTGTGTGTGTGTGTGAGGTGTTCAGTAGTGAATGTGAGAGTATTTCAGTAGTGTGTGTGTGAGGTGTTCAGTAGTGAATGTGAGAGGATTTCAATAGTGTGTGTCTGAGGTTAATTTTCAGTTGCGTGTGTATGAGGTTCATTTTTAGTAGTATGTGTGTGAGGTTTACTTTTCAGTTGTGTGTGTGTGAGGTGTTCAGTAGTGAATGTGAGAGTATTTCAGTAGTGTGTGTGCAAGGCCAGATGTTTTCAGTAGTGTGTGCGCGAGGTTAGTTTGAATTTTGGTCTACACGGCCCCTCATAGATGTCCTTGTCCCCACGCGGTAACTAAAATCTCTTGTCAGTGTTCGTAATCCAGGAGATATATTAGCACTTAGCTGATGAAGCCGACCAAGCTTTATAGCAGGAAAAGAGCCAACATGCACACACACGCACGCACACGCACACGCACGCACGCGCGCGCACGCGCACACACACACACACACACACACACACACACACCACACACTCTTCTCCTTGGTCCTATCAGCTACAACATTCAGTCTGTTTCCAAGCTTGTAGCTAGCCATAGCCTTGTATCTATTTAGTAATACTAAACAAAACTGTAACAGCATTAGCACGTAATATGTAACAAACATTAGCACGTAATATGTAACAAACTAATTATAGTTAAGCTGTAGAAATTACCCACTGGAATAGAAACACAAAATGGAGTATATGTTTAAATTAAAGGAGCTAAAATGAAAGATTGTAAGCTAGCAGGACACATTTTGCTGTAGTGTGAGACCATGTGACAAATGTTGGTTGTTAAGTAGGTCAGTGTGTTGTTCCAAATGTGATCATGCAAATACTAAAACATGTAATTCAGATTTGTTTTGTTTTGCATTTATAACAACGAACTCAGCGGCAGGACATGATACTCTTCACTCACTCTTAAAAGACAAACCTCACACAGTCCTCAGAATGTTGAGCCGGTAATCACGTACTACTGGCAGAACTTGCTCAACTTGGAAGAGTATTAAGACTGGAAATACTCGTTAGACTGGTGATTTATTACTTGTATTATTGTTAGCTCTTCTGTCATCGCACCTGTTGGGCGAACATAGTTTAACTCTTGCTTAAGACACTCCTCCCTTCTTGTGTGTTTAATTCTTGCCTTAATGCCAAACCAACTAGCTGACGGTAATGTCTCAAAAAACATAAGGGGAGTGCTGATTTAAACAGCTATGAAGTAAAACATATCACGATTCCTAATTCAAAAATATTGCTCAATACATTGTAAAGAAAATTGGACAGAAATTGACCAGAAGAATTTCCGTCACTTGTTATTCTCAGCAGATTTAAAACCTTTAGTTGTAAATCAGGGTTTTCTAACCGTTATTAAATGAATGGAAGAAGACAACAAAGTCATTTTCTGTTTTTTTTTTTATGGGTGCTTGAAATTATATTGTGTTTCATAAACAGCAGCCAGATGTTAGAACAATAGCTAAGATATGGTGCATGCATTTTATAATACACATGAATGTCTTGAAGGGCAAGTTATCAACAAAACAAAAACGTTTATTGCATGCTTAATCAAATAGCAGTGTGTTGTATTGACATGTAAGCAGGGTTGTTACATTGTAGAAAGACAGAGATCTGAAGGGAAGCAGGAGCGACGGAAGTAGTCAAACAACAGGATTATAATAATGAGAGTGTCTGTAGATCCGGATCATCAGGATGGTGATCTGCCAGCCTGAGACGTCACCTTACCAGGATGAGCTTCCTGGTTACGGCAGGAGTCAACAAGAATTTCCTTCGGGATTAATAAAGTTCTATCTAATCTAATCTAGCAACCAATAAATCCTTTATTAGTCATATCCATATGAAGCGATTGTTGCCTTTGGCCGGTCACAGTCAGTGGCTGTGTTATGGTTTTATCTTGTTAGATTAGAAGGTTTTATAGCATGAGTTTTTATGATATGGGAGCTCCTGTGTTGAGCCTCTTCTATCCACCGTTTTCCTCTACTTACCGAGTGCATTTAGGTCATTTGAACTTGTGCCATGATTGAATGGTTGCAGTTACATCAATGAATCTATTGGTTGTCTAAAACAGTGCTTCTCAAACTTTTTTCAGTAATGTACCCCCTTTGAAACATTTTCTCAGCCAAGTACCCCCTGACCGACCCCGAACATTTTTGATCGAAAAAGCCTATATAAATAATTACAATATAGTGATGTTCCCTCAGTGTGTGATTTATTAACTCCTTCATGAACGAATTACAACAAACAAAGGATATTTTCATTTTATGCATGAAAGAAAATAACGTTTTTATAAAACAGATTTTTCCAAGGAGTTTTTCAACTGAAGTAATATATGTTTAACAAACTAATGAACAAAATGATATATTGTGAAAAACTATAAAATACAATACAGACATTTGACATGTTTATATGAGGACCCCCTTGATGGTTCTAGGAATATTTTATTTAAGATTGTGTTTTCTATTTAACTTATTGTACTAAGATTATTTTTGTAATCATGCATGGTATTTTTTTAATTAACCTTTTTTTTCTTTTCTTTTTTAAATCTCACGTACCCCCTGCAGTACCCCAACGTACCCCTAGGGGTCCGCGTACCCCCATTTGAGAATCACTGGTCTAAAATATCTCAGAAAATGTTTTTTTACTCGAAGCGATTATTCACATATCAAATTATTTTTCAATTATTGTATTACTTGAAAACAAATAACTTCCCCTTTAAAGTGGACCTATCATGCTATATTTGAATAATATAGTGTAGGGCCATACCTATATAAAACATCTCTGTGAAGTTTTTTTTTCAAAATACCAAACAGATCATGCATTTTAGCCATGCCTCATTTCGCTCTATTTGCTGTATTCCAGCCCTGTTTTTGCAAGGGCTGATTCTGTGGCAAATGAGCTGCAGCTGACCACGCCCCCCTGCAAAGGAGGGGGGTGAGGCACGAGCGTCATGTTACCATGCTGTTACCATGCCACGGCAACCTCTCATTCCCCTGATAGGTGAAGAGTTGCCCATATAGGCGGAGCTCCTTGTTTCTGACGTCAGAGATATTTCAAATCTGTATCAGTCTGTATCAGATCCGTTGCAGACCCGTTTTTAGAGATTTGGGTATGGAGGAAAAGAGAGAGGGTTGTGTTTTCTGACACTTGGTGAGTTCCCTGGAACACCGGGGACACATATTCATGTATAAAAGACGTACAAAAGTGCATTTTGCATGATAGGTCCCCTTTAAACATAGTTTATAGTAGGCTTTAAGTGGCTGAATTGAAAGCTTCTCTCTCTCTCCCTTCACCCCTGTGATTTTCTATGTCTGTCCAGTGAAAAGATGTGTAGTGTCCTTGGGCACCGTTTCCTGTATTGATCATGGAGTAAATCACAGCGAGACAGCAGTTATGATCTCAGCCCTGCTTGTTAAGAATGAAATAGTGCCACGGCCCTGGTTGATATTCATAACCTTTCTCCCTCTCTCTCTCCCCTGCTCTTTTCACATTCTCATTTTCTCTCTCCTCATTTTCTCTACATGACTTTTCCTCCATATCTACCTCTTCTTCTTCCAACCTCTATCTTCCACTGTTCTCTCAGTGAGGTTTCCTACTGTGTGATATACTGCAAGACACACAATACATACAATACATATAACAAGTCAAATGTCTTTATTTTACTTTAGATATGATATAACCTGACTTAAAATATAACAATAGAATAAGTCCTGGTATTTCTGACTTTCCTTTAACAAGGATGTACTTTATTTCTGTACATGCTGAATAATCTGCATTTTGTTCATGTCACATATGATGTTGGGTCTGAGAAACAACCTTACATATCTAGTTTAATGGAATTTAACCCATTCCGTGCTGTTCTCTCTGCCCCTTAGGCTACCTGCCCAATGGTATCCATGCAGTGGAGGGCATGTTAGCAGCAGCCAGCATTGGAGCCATCTGGAGCTCCACGTCTGTGGACTTTGGAGTCAACGTAAGGACTGTCATTCTGTTTGTGGCTTTTCTTTTTATTATTTACATATATTTGAGTTTTTTAATCCATTGTATTATCAACTCTTTATTTGTGCACTATATGTTATAAGATAAACTGTTTCTATAAACCTGTGGAATCAGCTGGTTTAGGCATGGCATATTACTTTTCTGTGGACTCTGAAGCACATCTTGAGCACTACAGACAACAGTCTTTATCTCTTAATCCTAACAACACTCATAGCTCCAGCTACAGTACTGAGCCATACTGGGTCAATGGTCTTTTATCAATCCACCCACATATGCAAACTAACATAAAGCATCAGTTCGTGTGTGATCCCAGAGAAACTCTTTCATCTTCTATGCTTATTGTTTCTTGTGTGCTATTGCCTCGTCTGGCAGATCAGAGAACTACACTTACAATAAAAACATGTCTTCACCTTTAGTTAGAAGTTATTCACTGCATGTTACGCTCAATGTTGCTAGTCATGTGAGGATGAACAATATAGAGGTATTTTAGGGGCAATTATACTTTACATTCCTCATGCATTTTGTCTTGAGCTTATGTCCACCATCTGAATCACGTTGTTCTCTTCCATTGCTCCCTTCATTCTCTGCTTAAATATGCTTCTGTTTTGTAACAAACAATGTTGTCTTGTCTTGTCTTATGTTAAAAGCAAGATCAAGTATTTCCTTTTAAGTCTTACATGAACTGCCCTTATTCCTGTCTTCTTACTCAGTGTTCTGATTTTTAAGATTTAACCCTCTCTCTCTCCTTTTTTGTGTCAGGGTGTCCTTGACAGGTTTTCTCAAATCCAGCCCAAGCTGATCTTCTCTGTTGCAGCTGTGGTTTACAACGGAAAAACACACGACCACATGGAGAAGCTGACCAGTGTTGTCAAAGGTTAGCACCAACTCTATGTAACCGACCATACATTTGTACATTTTATATCTAATTTTTAACACTTATAATAGTAGAGGAACTTCATTTTACTCTACTGGTCTTATGGCTCCTTCTACATTTAAGCATGTTTTAGTTGACCAAAGTATCTTGAATATATCTAAAAATCTGAATCTCTCTGTAGGTCTGCCTGACCTGAAGAAAGTGGTGGTGGTTCCCTACGCTCGCTCCAAACATGAGATCGACCTCTCCAAGATCCCCAACAGGTGTGTGTCTTTCAATACAGCTTCGCTCTCAAGTAATAAAACTGAGAAGCTAAAACTGTTTTTTTCCCTTTTTTTTTATTATTATGACTAGAGCAGAGATATACTTTCTTTCATATATCGTATTGATCGTTTTCTTTAATTTCCTCCCTGACTCTTTTTTTTTATCTTCACAGTGTATTTATAGATGATTTCTTGGCTTCTGGGCGCGGTGGTGAGGCCGAGCACTTTCCTCAGCTGGAGTTTGAGCAGCTTCCGTTCAATCATCCCTTGTTCATCATGTACTCGTCTGGCACCACAGGAGCTCCTAAATGTATGGTGCACTCTGCTGGGGTAAGGAAAACAGTGGCTTCCTTTTAATCATTAATATGGTTCACTTACCCTCCTTTTGGGTCTCATGCAATAAGCAATATACAAACACATTTCCTCTCAGTATCAACAATTCATTCTTTTTTGTTGGTACCAATGCCAGGAAACTTATTTTTCTTTATTTTGAAATGTAAAAGAACGCATAACTATATATCACATTGAGATTTTAAGAATATAAAATCTCTATGAGGATGATATTGGGTGGATTCAGTGTCTGAATGGCATACATTCGGCTCTTTAATGCTTATTGATTTTCCTATTAAGTCACTGTTGGATCTCCCAAAAACACACCTTTATTTTCTCTTAAAGGTCATCTATCATGCTATTTTTAGGCAATAGCATAGGTCTCAGATATATACAAATATATAAAAAACATGTCTATGAAGTGTTTTGCTCAAAATACCAAACAGATCACCCATTCTAGCCATGCCTCATATCCCTCCATTTCACTTCCTGTTTCAAAAGTGCTGATTTGGGGTAGCCTATAAAGCTTTAAAAAAAAGCGGTGATGAAACGCCATATCATGGATTATCAAGGATTATTTCTGAGACAGTATGGAGCTCAAAGGCTTTCTCTCTTGCCGGTTATACCACAAGGAGAGTTCCTTTTTATTTCCTGCTTCTTCACACACATGCTCTGTGCAGTACAGGTTAGCTCTGAGTGTTAGCGATGCTAATGTAAACACCGACCATATTACATCCAAAACAGTCGGGCATTGTTTCTGATAGCAACGTTTCTGATAGGGCCGTGGCCAGCCTACATTCACGATATTACGTCATATCGGACGCAAATCTGGATCAGCTCCGTTGTAGCCCCGTTTTTAGAGATTTGGGTACGGAGGGAAAGAGAGAGGGTTTTATTTTCTGCCGCTGCGTGAGTTCCCTGACACACCGGGGACACATATCTATGTATAAAAGACATCAAATAGTGCATTTTGCATGATAGGTCCCCTTTAATGTATCATTCATAATTCATCTTACATCGATCTCACTACTGCTGAAGTTCTTCTTCTTCTTACAGCCTTTCTTCTCACTAATTCTTGTGCCAGAGTGTTTTTACATGGCACACCACCTGCTATTCTATCGTGTTGAGGGAAGAGCAGATTTCATTTAGGAGAAACATTAGAGATAATGTTTCTACATGAGGTCCATCATGTGTTAGGTAGGCACACACAATTTCTTCACACTCTGCTGATCATTTTATAAATAATGTGAGGAATGTAGCATCTTAGTAACTGACAAATTAATCATTGATTCAATTATGTAGAAACATTTGGAATAAGGAACATGTTAACATTTCAAAACAAAGAGACACCTTTGGCTTGGCATTTTTGTTAATTTGTTGTTGCTGCTCCACACGGGTTAAATGGACCACAGCTGTCACACACACACACACACACACACACACACACACACACACACACACACACACACACACACACACACACACACACACACACCACACACACACACACACACACACACACACACACACACACACACACACACACACACACACACACACACGCAGGTCACCTCTGTTTGCAGAGCTCTCCTGGGTTGGCCCACATGTACAGTTTGCTATTCACTGCACACCATTTATATTAATACACATGAACAGTCAGATAGAAGGGGATGTTCTCAATATACAAGAAGAAGACACAAGAAACGCAGTATCTGTACAAATTGACAAGTAATGTTGAGATCATCTAATTTATTGGCATTTCTACAGATAGCAGACAGTTTGCTCAGTCAAGTATTTATTTCTAAACCGTTACATGTCTCATTCATTTTGACTTCAGAGTGAAAAGTTCTTGACCTTGGAAAAAAGGGTTGAAAGAAAACTTCACCACAATGTCTATTAGTAGCTTTTCTGGAGCTTTAGTTCATGAGAATATGATTCCTAAATTGCTCATGGAAGCTTAAACTCTTTCAATATTATAGCTGTCGCATGATACCATCGCTTGACACATTAGGAGCGTAACAATTGTTTACTGATGAGAATATATAATACTTACATTTTAACTGTATTTTATTTATTTTACTTCGTTTTTTAAAGAAAATGTATCTTTTAAATCAAACTATAAAACATTTAACACTCTCTTGGCCAGCTTAACATATATATACTCTAAATGTCTTTTAAATAACATGTTTCACCACAAGATGGCAGCAGACCTCCATCAGCAGATCTTTGAAAGGTTATCCTCTCTCAGGAGAGTGCACAAATGACAATTTTCTTTCCTGTTACATATCACATCTGAGTGAGGGAGACAGCCAGATGAAAGTGTGATTTTAAAAGGACCACTGCACTTTGAAAGCTGAAACACTCAACGTTGAAAAACGGGTTAATACACTCAAACAAATTCATTCACACATTCTCGCAAAACGTCTTCCTCTTTCTCGTGTTTTGACACACCTGAAATGTTTTTCACCGTTTCAGATTTGCTTTTCTATCCTTAGTTTTCATGCATTTCCATAGCCCCTCATAATGTTTTTTCCCCTTACTTTAGCTCTCTTTCCATTCCGGCTGTGCAATTAATCGTATTTTAATCGCAATTACGATTTTGGCCTGCCACAATTACGAAAACAACATAATCGAAAAAAACGATTATTTTGCTTTGCTAGGTTGTAACAGTGCACTAGAACATAATTTGATCTAATTCATTTTAGTCTAATTTATTTTTATTTATCATATTAATATAATTTTAGTAGCTCGTGGAAGTGCGCTCCAAAATATGTTGATATTGTTTATTGGTATTTATTATTTTTGATATTATTTATTTAAATGTAGATATACATATATCATTTATTTTATTTATTTTTGTATTGGTTTTTCAGTTGAATTATACGTTCAGGGTAATCAACAGTTAAAAAGATACTGTTCAAATTATTATTTGTTTTAAAGTTCAATAAATGGATGTTTTCAAAGTCAATGAATAATCGTATTTAATAATCGTGATATCAATTATTGACCAAAAATAATCGTGATTATGATTTTTGCCTTAATCGAGCAGCCCTACTTTCCATCATTGTCTTCCTTTCCGTCTCTTTCTTTTCTGCCCCCTCGTTCTCCCCATGCTGCCGATAATTGGACAGTAATGCGTTGGTGAAAACATGTCGTAGTGCGAGGCTGGCAGTCCTCTCTGGCTCCACCAATTAGCTCGGGCACTGTTGCGCTTTCTGCTTTGTTATGGCTCTGTTAACATGCTGTCAGTAGCAAGATGGCACGCTCCAAAGAATGGGAAAAGGCAGATGAGTCCTGCCAAAGATGACACACACACACACGCGCACACACACACACACACACACACGCGCACGCACACGCACACGCACACGCACACGCACACGCACACACACGTCACGGAGCACCTGTTAATGCAGACAGGATAGTACACATCAAGGCTCAAAACTAAAACACACACAGCCACACACACGCTCCCACAGTTTATACTCAACACCAGCAATAATAACCTATCCAACTGTGACAGGTTCGTGACTGCGGGACAATTCACACAAATTGCCCTTTTGTCAAAAGAAGTGCTACTGTGTGCTGTGTGTTAAGTCTTGGTCCGACACAGGCATCTTTCATGTCATGAATGAAATTATTAACAATAACCTTAAACAGTCAATACAATTGTTATTATTTTCATTTTGGATTACTTTAATATTTGCTTTATGAAAAAACTGCCAGAAAATGTAGTTTAAGGTGATATTTTTTGTTGTCAGTCCAAAACTTAAAGATATTCAGTGATATAGGATACACAAGATTCAAGATTTAAAAGATTCAAAGGATTTATTGTCATATGCACATAACATACATATATATATGTTCATTTTAATTCATTTATAATTTTATAGTTATTTTATCATTTGTTTTTTTATCTTTGATTTTATCCTTAATTTTATTAATCCGTGTGAATCTGTGCTGTCCTGTTTTTCATCCTTACCCTGTTGCTGTTAAACTACTGAATTTCCCCACGGGGATTAAGGTCCATCTTATCTTATCTCTTACAGTGTAGAAATGGCAATGAATATTACATGTCACTTGTTAGACACTTTTATCCAAAGCGACTTACATACTCAATACTGTGGACAATCCCCACAGGAGCAATTTGGGGTGAAGTGTCTTGCCCAGGGACACAACGACATACTGACTGCAGTGGGGTTTGAACCTGTGACCCCCTGAACCGAACACCAACGCACAACCCACTGCGCCACACCCCCCAGAATATCTCCTGACCCGAGCTCCTCCAACAATTCAAAAATATATAATAGAATACAAAAATACAAATAAAAAATAGTGCAAGAAGTCTATATACATGTAAATAGAATATAATATGTACAAGAACAGAATATTAACACAAAATTAAATATGGTTTATTGCGGTGATAACTATTTATATATATATATATATATATATATGGAGATTGCAAGATGACAAACAGATTAATGTTTATCGGGGCACTTAACAGAGCTCAGGTGTTTAGCAGTCTTATTGCAAGAGCAGGATTTCTCCATATTGGAGAGGCCCGAAAAAACATTTCATGACACTTTTACAGGAATAATTACTTGATTAATAGATCATCTACAAAGTCAGTAAGTTATTATTTTCTATTGAATGACTAACAGACTAGTCAATTAAAAACGATCAATAATCTCTCTGTCTTTTTCTGTATTTGCAGGGAACACTCATCCAGCACTTGAAAGAACACATTCTCCATGGCAATATGACCAGCAGTGATGTCATCATATACTACACCACGGTATGTACACAATCCCTTCTCTATTAAACTGAGGGAAAGTTAGGAAAATGTTTAATATCTGACAAACTATCCACCGCTCCCTTTTCGTCTCATCTTGGTTACCAGGTATTGTGGGTTGTTTTTTATCATGAACTTGGTTACACACACACACACGCACACGCACGCACACGCACACACACACAGACACAGACACACAAACCGATCTTGTCTAATGAGCAGCATTGAGTACAGAAGGTCAGAGCTGCGCATCATTTCTTGTTGTTACTCAAAGAATCTAGCTCCTTTTGATGATACACTCTGAGAAACATCATTTAATGTTGATTAAAGCTGAAACAGTTGTTTGGGGTAGTGTTTATGTCGGTTTTACACATGATTAGTGCACATTTTAAATTCATGGTGGTCATGTTTTTTTTTTACACATCAATACATAAATGGGCAAACCTCACATTATCTTGACTAAGAAATTGATTCTGTCAAGTTTTAGGATTACTGCCTTATGTCTTAAAAAATAAAGTATGACCCATGCATGTCTGTTAAGTAGACCTGTATCTAAATATCTGCTTTTTTTCTGCTGCAATTACGGATTATTTTCATCATATATTAATCGCTTGATTTCCATTTAACTGATTATTAGTTTATTCTACGATATACCAGTTTTGTTTTCAATTTGAAATAACGTAAACTTATTTCTTGTCTTATGCGATCGTCAGTTAAATAATTGATTTATTTATAGAAATTATAGAAAAGCTGCAAATCGTATCAAAAGCTTGACCCAGCACATTTTTGTTGATAAAAGACCAAAATGATTTATTGCATTTATTTCAGTCAACTAATATATTAAATGACCTATTGTTTCACCACTAATTGTAATTTTATAATTACAATAATTGTATTATATAAAATAAAATATCTGAATTCAATTTGATCTCAACTGCGCAACAGTAGAGTTTATTGCTTTTATGGACACACACACAAACACACACAGAGAAAAAGGTAGGAAACAATACCCACATGCTGTCCGTGCTTGTAATTATGTGAATCACAGAAGCATAACTCACATTCTGCAGGGGTTTTCAATTTTGCTCCCCATTTATCCGTGTTGGTTGAAAAGGACTGTTTTTACCAGATAAACTGACCACTGGGTCACTGTGTGTGTGTGTGTCTATGTGTGTGTGTGTGTGTGTGTATGTGTGCTGTCCTTAGACTGGCTGGATGATGTGGAACTGGCTGATGTCTGCTCTGGCAGTGGGAGCCTCTGTGGTTTTATATGACGGTTCACCACTAATACCCACACCCAATGTACTGTGGGACCTGACGGACCAGCTGGGGTGAGTTTAACACATAGACACACACACGCAAAAAAAACAATAACTGAATTGTTGTGCTGTTTGTTGCTTTCTGTTGGTAAATGATTATTTTAAACACATAATGAAATAAAATCCCTTTGAAAACACATTTGTAACGAATACAAATTCAATTTATCTGTTTTTATCCAACAGTTTTCAACCGATAGATAGTGTAGCTTCTGTTAAGTGTAGCGTAGCCCAACCCATGTTTCATTGTCAACACAAATGGTGCACCGGACATTAGACCACTATATATTCCTTTAATATAATACTTGGTTTAAATAAAGAGAAAAGAGACTCATAGAGAAAGAATGGAAAAAACCCAGACAATAAGGAGAAGGAGGGATTTGGACAGACTGACAGAGAGGGAAAGACAGCACAAGCAAAGGGTAAGGTTTTCCTTGGAGATTTTGTTTTCAACCACAGAATTGGTAATGTGTTTGCCTAATTGACAACTTGGACACACACGCACACAAGAGCCGACCTATGAATAAAGATTTCTGCTGGTTATTATTTGTATGGAGAACGGAGATCCACAGCAACTGATCATACAATAACCCTTCATTATTTACTTATTAATGTATCACTTATTTAAATGAGAAGACACAGGGGGAAAGGATGTCTTGGCCATTAAATAGACAAAAAGGAGAAAATGAATGAAAAAGGCAGGGAAATGGAAGATAACAACGATTATTATTTTGGTGTATGGTTGGAAAATAGTAACAGACTTATTATAACTGGATGTGAAGTCACCAGGAAGACGTTTTGAGAGTTTCTCCAGTTTGAGAATTGGAGGAAACATAATCCTACATTAATTTCCACAGGTTTAAAAACAAATCAAGCATACAAATACATTATTTATAACTTTTGATAAGCCCATATGAGCTGCCTGGCTGTTATTTTGAAAGAGCATTGATGTGCTGTATTTAGCTGAACAAGCTGCTTTAAGGCAGCAGGGTCAGCCATCCATTGAGCCTGTTGTTATTGAGATTGATAGTGAAACCCGGGTCAAACTACAAGACGGCTGAAACCTAAAGTTTACAATCTAGTCAGAGGCTGTTCACACAATAAAATGGCTCAATGGGGACTTTACAGATTCCATATTTGAGAAAAATGTTCCCTTTTCCTACGCAGAATCTACCGTAGAAATGTATGTTGAGGTAACACAATTAAAAAGATACTTGTGATACTGAGTCCTGAGAAGTAGATGCTACTTTAAACCCACTACTGTACTGTTTAATACTATATATCCCCCTTCATTTTTAATTCAAGACATATTTTCAGACACTGTAGGTGTACATCCCAACAGATTGGTATGTAAATGTCCTGAAATCCTCCCCCATCGCCAACATAAACAGCGGATTCTAAACCAAGTATTGATTTTCTATTGTCTTTAGAAAAGAGAGGAAACGGTCAAGGACAAAAGTGTGTGCGAGTGAATGTGTGCAGGCAGGCAATTAATTGGCTCAGATCTAATGTGTTCCATTGTTCAGGTCTATATACGTCTAAAAGGTGGATAGGTAAGTGTGTTAGTTCTCCCCAGAGAAGGCCATTCGTTTTCTCTTCATCATTTGTTTTAAAGAAAGTCCTTGTGTCATATGGTATTCACAATTTGAATGCATTCACTCAGTCATTTATTTAGTATATGACTCCAGATAAAAGTGGCCAGATTGCCTAAAATTCAATGGAATGATACCGATACAGTTTGCCAGCGCAGATTGATGCAAACCATTTACTTGTTTATATTTATATACATATAATTATTTTATAATTAAGTGCCACCAACATTACTGGAATGAAGAAATGTGTGTCCTCTGCTAACCTTTTTGATATTTTCAACAAATTATTATTTAAAAAAGGGGTGGAAGAATTGCACGAGAAACTCTCTCCCCCTTAAACCCCACCGCCTTAAGCAACCTGAGAGCCATCTCAGTCAACCTGTAGTTAAATTATGACAAACCATTTGCACTGTGGTCAGCAAAAGTAATACCCTTTTAAGGAAGTGGTACCATAGACAGTGCAGCAGGAGTGGCATATTGGAAGGAAGGGAATAATGGGGATACAAATCTGACGCATATAAAGAGTAGTGGGAAATAAAGAGCAAAAGTACTTCTCCTGCAAAAACTCTGCTTGTAAATCCCAAATATAATGAGCTCCTTCCACAACTTTACTAGTCGATTTTAACATCAAATACAATATATTAGGTACCTCCATTGATGATTGGTATCCTGTTAAAATAACTGGTATAGTTGGGATTGGGTCAGGATTGGGTAACATCAACATTTTTGATTGGTTTGTAGTAGCTGTTTAATCACTTGCATGTCTAAAGCTTTTAACCTCTCTGCTTTGTTCCCTCAAATATTTTCAATTGGAAAAACAAGTGTGTTCAAGGTTAAAATATAAAAAGAAAATGAATCCTCTCAGAGGAATTCAATGGAGGGCTGCCAGGATGACTGATGAACAGACCAAACCATTTCAACTGTGAGATTTTTTGAACCAATTAAGTGCTCATGTTGCCACCTCAGACACATTTTCCACATCCTAACGCTATGTGGAAAGACCCTCTGGGGGAGGCTGACAAGAAATATTTTACACCCTCCTCTGAATTGGGGTTGGACATTTTAATTGGGGCTAAATCTGTCAGAGTCTTAAACTTACATTGAGGCTTCTTCTGTAGCCTTGACTTTTGTTGGTTAGTTAGAATTGTAATAACTACTCTGCTCAGTCAAGCCTTAAAACTGACATTGCCAGATTTAAATCTCTTTATACTGTAGATAGGTTTTTGAAGATTGCATTTTCAATTATAGGAAAGGACTGGTACTGTACTTTTACACAACAAGCCCCTTTTGCTAAAAATTGATTATTGCAGACTTTCTGCTTTTGAAAAAAAAGTAAAAGGTGCTGGAAGCCTGCAAATTGGTAAAGTCTCAGCAGAGTTGTGTTTTTAGTTCTCCAGTAGTTTTCTGTGCTTCACGACATATTAAGGATGCTTGAGAGAGACTAATACAAGCCACTGAGGATGTTCTCTGTCCACAATGGTATTTCCAGAAAGACCCTTACTGTATATAGAGAACATAAGCCACAACATGTATTAACGTTGTCATACGTTTACATATAACATGGATTTCAATGACTCTAAAATAAACTATATTCATGTAAAACACAAAAATGTGTGAAATAGCCGAGTGAAAAGCAAGCAAAATGTTACAACATGTATTCTGTGACAGGTTTATATGTTTGAATGAGACATCAGTATTCTCTGAGGAGCTTCTTGTCTCTTCCATCTTTTGTCCAATATACGTTGAGCTAAGATGTCAGAAAGAGCATTCCTTTACTTTTTCAACGATAAAAGTGTTGTGTCTTGCAAATGCAAAATTCCCAGTTTGAAGGACATGAATGCAGATAAAGTTGAGCAGATTGCATCTTACCAACCCTGTTTCAGATATCCTCTTGTCTTCAAGCGCTACATTTTGTAAACTAGAGACTCGAGTCTTCATCAATTCTTTTACACAAAATCTTTATTCAGAAACCAAACAATAACATTATTTTTTAAGTGCTTAGGTTTACTGTACATGTCTACATTCATTTTGAGCCATATTGTCTTCTGCTTTGCCTTTTTGGATTTTCTTGCACCGGGTTAGATTGTAGCACAAAATGAGAATATTTTATAAAACAAAACAGAAAAGTACTGTAATACTACAGTAGATGACAGAAAGAGTTGAGGGCTGATGGAAGAGTCATTCTTAACATATCTGTCCTTTCAGAAACTCACGAGAGAGAACAATTACATTGGCAGGAGGGGGGCTCAGTATTAGAATCATGTTAGTGAGTGAAAGCAACAGGGTTCTTAGGAAATTGGTTTAACTTTAGAAACAAAAGCACTAACACCGAGATATGGAGGCTGTCAATGATACTGAACAATCCCTCTTGTACATTTTCCATATATTGATTCTCAAAATTGATGTAGAGCTTCAAACTTTTAATATTGCAAATAGGTAAACAATTACACCATCAGACGTAGGTTTCAAACTGTTCCTCATCGCCCCTGACGTCTGAGAAGAAAGTAATGGTGCATTTTTATATTACAATTCTTCCCGGGGTGAAGGATAAGTGCGAAAGTAGTTTAGAAAGCATGCACTGAGAAGAGGGACCTCAGTTTGTACTTCATGACACTCACAGAAACACATTAACGTTATAGCTGCTCCGAGGGGCTCTTGTGTCTGATTGGCTTCGAGTGTATCTTATTGGCCCGGTAGCTTCCAGCAACATGTCTCCCTTGAAACAGACACACTCGTACATTTACAAGTGCAGACACACACTCATAAACAAGAGACACACAGCTACTATTCAACCGTCCATCCTAAACATCCAATTATCAGCCACACCTGGCCACCTGCCTCCAATCAGAACACACTGACCCGATCAGTTGTCGCTAGCAACGAACAAAGACAGACGTGCGGGGTGCGGATGGTGCGGGATGATGGATAGGATGGAGAGTGACTTCATTACTCCCCAAGCCTGTTTATTGGCTGAGTTTGACAACACAGACATTCATTTCTGAATATACCACAGAGATTTGGAAGTAAATAAGATAAGAAGTAATATGACCTATTGAATGATTTCAACAACAATACTTTGGCTTAGGTTCATTGTTGACCTGAGGTGTGTGTGTGTGTGTGTGTGTGTGTGTGTGTGTGTGTGTGTGTGTGTGTGGTGTGTGTGTGTGTGTGTGTGTGTGTGTGTGTGTGTGTGTGTGTGTGTGTGTGTGTGGTGTGTGTGTGTGTGTGTGTGTGTGTGTGTGTGTGTGTGTGTGTGTGTGTGTGTGTGTGTAGTGTGTGTGTGTGTGTGTGTGTGTGTGTGTGTGTGTGTGTGTGTGTGTGTGTGTGTGTGTGTGTGTGTGTGTGTGTGTGTGTGTGTGTGTGTGTGTGTGTGTGTGTGTGTGTGTGTGTGTGTGTGTGTGTGTGTGTGTGTGTGTGTGTGTGTGTGTGTGGCCAGTGCACGCATCATTCACACCACTCCTTTTGAGATATTACTTCTTTGAACCTCTGCCCTCTAACCCCCCCACTGCTTCCCTCACCCCATTACCACTTATTGATTTGAACATCTGAGAGCAAATCACATCTTTCACATCAAGCATCAGACAGTTGTTTTGTATCCCAGAGACGGATTCTTTTTTTGATCTTGTTTTGATTGACAGACATGGTTACCGTTGTGATAGGGTGCAATTTGATTGATTTGATTTCAACAAAAATAACTTGAAGACACAGACTGAGACACAAACACACCCATTCACCGAGGCAGACTTTAAAGGGCCCTTTGTTTTAGAATTAAAACTGCAGGGGAACACAGAAGTGACGTTTTGTCACTTCATGCTTTCCACATGTTGTCCAACTGTTGTCAGCTGTCAGGAGGACTTCCATTCACACAGAAGAAAGACACCTTCAAACATCATTTCATTACAGAGTTGCCGTGTGCAAACATCCTGTCAATACAGTTTCCACTCTGAACCATCTCCTTGTGGAACATTTACAAAAGAAACATGTTGTCCCCTTATGCTAGACTGACCATTTTTGTGTTTGACTCTTTTTTTGTTTGTTTGTTCATTTAAAGTCAATTCCCAATCAGTTGTTTTTCTTCACTTTTTCTTATCCGTCCATGAAGGGTTGACTGAGCACACAAACTCAGTTTCAGCTTCACCTTGCTTCACATTAACGCAGCGACACACTCTCCTCTCACGGGAGCTTCTTAGTACGACCAAGCTAGCGAGCAGCTCCACTGGAGCAGATGGGATTAAGGGCAGAGGCTGTTCAGTAACTGTTGCATTTTTTTTTATAGTTTTACATTCAGCTCACAGTCATTGAAATGAAGCCTTGTCATGCATAGATTCATGGCAACAAATGAAGCATTGTCAGTTCATGATGTGCATTTAAGTCATGCTTACATCGTCATTCATTTGTGCTTCCCCATCCTAGTCCTAGCAGGATAATAACACTCATTTATATATTTATAAATGTAGAAAAATGTATTTTTTAACACACTTACTTCTCACTATTAAATGCAAATATTTATCCTTGGATACATTCTTTACTCTAACCTGTTAAGCCCGGGAACATCTTGCAAGAAACAGCGTCTGAGGGCTTCTTAACATTTAACAAACTATGAATGTGTCATACCCACTTAACGGGAAGAAACTCAGCTACCTGACGATATGAACCATTTTTACCGAAACAAAACACAAGTCTGCGAAAGAGTGCTAACGCACTTAGCACATAACTCATGGTAGAAATATTGTATACTTCATCGGATCTCCACAAACTATATACCATATGAAAGCTGAGATTCCACAGATTCCAATGGTATAATGTCGCGTTTCCACTACACGGCCTCGCTCGGCCCCGCTCGGTATGGCTGGGCCTCGTTAGGACTGGCTCACTTTATGGCGCATTTCCATTACAGTTTAGGAACTGGGGCAGTATCTATAGTAACGCAGTGTAGGCGGAGCCGTGACGTGATCTTCAGAGGACCCCAGAAAAACAACACAGCCGTTAGCTGTTAGCACTCAGAGCTCACAGCTCCTCATATATGTTCAGAAACTAGACAAAAGTTAAACAAGTACAAACCACAGACTGCCTGTGTCATGGTGAATACAGTCGCTGCTTTATTTATGTCTGTATAGGCCGTTGTTGTGAGTGTGGACGGTCGGAGCATATACTGCGTTAGCTTAGCCAATCTCCATTTAGAAAACAAGCATTTTAAAAGGTTTTTTGCCTGCCGTCTGTCTGCAGACTTGACAAAGCATTAATTCATGGTTTTTACTAACCGGTATCAGTATGTTGTTACTTCGGCATCATTTTGAAACGTGTATTACAATTAAATCACGGTCAAATATGTCCATCTTGTTGTAGTTGTAGCCCCCTTGCCAGCGACGCTCTCTCTAGTTTAGCATACTCAGCCCGACTCAGCCTCGTTGTCTCTGGCCCTGGACCCACGATTTTATGAGGCCAGAAAAACTGTGAATTAGGACCCGCCGGCCGGTACTAGGCCAAGTGGAAACGCAACCAAAGACGGGCCGCTGACGTCACAGCCCTCTTAAACCGGGCTGCGGGCTGTAGTGGAAACGCGCCATAAGTATCATCACTCCATGACCAGTTTTGGGCAAACTGTGTGGGCATCACTCTCAATCCTCAATGGTAATGTTTAGATGGATTTAGGAACTTTCCCTCGATTCTATTGGCTCTAACGGTTAAAAAGAGGTGTCAATCATCAAAATCGACCAATGGGTTCCAGAGAAACGGCAAATCCACCCAAATACACACCAAATGACCCCAGAGGTGGGTTTTTTTTTCTAAACCTCTCTAAAAAGGTCAAATGTCACTTGTTTTGAATCAATCTCGATACAGGGTACTTATTCTATGTTATAGTTTGGATTCCTAAAGCTTTTAGTCTACCTTACCATCATCCAAGGGTGGTTTTCACTATAAGTAATGGTTTATTTTTGGACGGACACTATAATTTACATTTTTTTACTATGTTCTATCTGAATTTTTATTTAAAATAAAAACATCTATATTGATTCTGACTTTTCTACATCCAACTCACAGGTGTATCATTGCTTTGAGAAAAAAGATTATTAATTTACCCCTTTTAGAAGGGAAGATATGGTCATTTGTTCTGGGAATGTCATTTTCGAGCTTAAGAATAAAAGCCTTTTATCAGAATTCTTTTGCTCCCACATTGTTTTGTTGACAGGAACATTATGAATTATGTTATCCACATGCTGCAAACAATAGTTTCATTTAGAACCATGACACAAAGCAAAGAAAAACATTTCTTTCAACCTTTCTCTAATATGCTATGCACCTGGTCCCCATGGGCCCTTTTAAGGCTTTAAAGTGTGTGAATTTGAATGAAAAGAATAAAGTCCCTGAAAGCTTTTGAAAAAAATAACATAAAATGGCATGGGCCATTAAACATGGTCAATATAGGTTTTTGTCTAAGAAAAGAAATGCAAGTTATTTTGATATTATTTGTAACTTAACCTTAGTAGATAGGCTATGTCTGCATGCGTGTCCCTCACAATTGCGATGTTGTATCAGCGGTCACATGACTTGAGAAAGTGCAACAGAAATTATCCTTGATGAAATTGAAGGAGTTGTGCTTTGAATTTGATGTTTAAGAAGTTTTGGGAACCATGTATACTATAGTATTCGTCCCCATCCTAATGCAGTCAATTTATTTGTTGGAGTAGAGCTTTGCTACTTGTTTAATTTTGATGGACAAAATTCCCAGCGTAAATAGCGATTATAAATAGATGTCACAAAGTTTGTTTGCCTTTCTGTTCATCCAATTAATATTATGGTCTTGAGCTAAATATTCCAAACCGGCCGGATTGCCATGGAATTTGGCAACAACATTCCTGCCATACAAAAGGATGAGTCATAATGTTTGCTCATTTTGTTCTGTTGTTAAAAGTTTATACTTGTCATAATACAGAATACAGACCAAGTATGTAGGAGGGCTTTGGCAATGGCTGCCATTGTTCGCAACGATGACGCAAATTCCTTTTTTACCCCCAAAATAATGTATTTTTATTTGCATGTTTTGATAGAAATAGTGCTTTACTGATCCTTCATATTGATATTTGAAACAAAATTCTCTCTTTTTCCTTCAGTATCACTATCTTTGGTACCGGGGCTAAGTGGCTGTCAGTGCTGCAGGAGAGGAACCTGAAACCAGGTGAGCTGTGGTCCCACACACAGACATGTACACACACACATAAGCATGCACACAGACACACAACAGATGATAAGCAGAAACCCAGTCAGACATGCATGGGATGGTCACAATAATCATTATAATAGTGATGTTTAACTCCAAATGTCCCATATGCCATTTGCTGCAAAAATCATTATTAGGCCTGTGTTTTGGTGTTCGACACTAAATCAAATGGATAAAAAGGCTGTGATAATTCATAGGAGTCATGGACAGGGCCAACTAAGTGTCACGCCTCTCCAGAGAAGGAACCAGGTCTCTACATATAATTGTACTTATTAGATTTCCTGCTAACTTTCATACATGACACTGCCTCGTTGCTATGTCTGTGACACCAAAGGGCCTCTGGTGCATGATAAAACTATTGCTGCTGTGTTGTGCTCTTTTAAAAAAAGATACAAACTGTAATGTATCAGATCAAGGCACATACTTTTCAGAATGGTAGGGTCCAATCATCAATTTAGTTCAAATTCAACCTTTAGTTTTAACCTTTCATACCTGATTTTCACCAATGGCAGTGTGATTTTTCTGGTAAAAAAACACAAATGCTAGTTATAATTGAATAACACAAGCTGGCATTTGGTTTACATAATTATATATCAAAGCTTTCGCTCTTTATTGCTCAAATGTTTTGCATGTTCTCCTCCACATCCCCTTCTTGCCCTTACCTTTTCTTACTTTCTGTCCTCCTAAATTAAATAAGCTCTTGAATCGATGTGCATAGCATAACCAGTTTCTTTGCATCGCGATTCCCAGTGTGCTGTTCTAATCAACACAAATCCATATTCATATTGCCTGCTTTGTATTTCTCTCTGACTGCAACTTGTAAATTAGGTTCACACATTAGCTCCCCTACTATGTGGCTAAACAGACACAAAAAACAAAATGTATTTTTCTGCTCCACCCTCTTCAGTCAGCCAGCCACTTGTTCCGTTTGGCACAGTGTGTGTGTTTGTTTGGATTCTTATTAGAGAAAAAGGGCAGAGGGAGATGTGTGTGTCTCTTTGTTTGTTTGCATAATGTGTGTGTGAGCGTGTTTTTGTGCGGGCACACATGCCTCCAGTGAGCTGGGAAGGGTGGGGGGACCTTCTCCCCTCGCTGCCCCAGCGGATGGGCCCTTTTCCCTGGGCTGACATTTGGACCAGACACCTGGAGGCATGGTGGGGGGTAGCAAGAGTTCCCACTGTGTGCGTGTGCGTGGTAGTGCATGCAAGAGTGTATGTGGTGTGACATCAGGCTGGGAAAATACATTAACAAAACACGTAGGACAAATTGTCAGAAAACAAAACCCTCTCTCTCTCCTCCGTACCCAAATCTCTAAAAACGGGGGAACAATGGAGCTGATCCAGATTTGCTGCCGATATGACGTAATAAAAAAAAAGCATTTGAGCTCCATACTGTTTCAGAAATAATCCTCAATGTGGTTTTGAACATGATATGGCGTTTAATCACGGCAGCATTTAGCTGTATCTGGGTAGAATCCTACTCAGCTAAACATTTTTTAAAGCTTTACACCCAGAATCATCACTTCTCTAACAGGGCTGAAATAGAGGGGTATGAGGCATGGCTAGAATGGGTGATCTGTTTGGTATTTTTAGCAAAACACTTCATAGACAGGTTTTTTATATATTTGTATATATCTGAGTCCTATAATATATGCCTAAAAATAGCATAATAGGAGACCTTTAAAAAGCAACCCATCATTCAATGCCATTTGTTCCTATTGACGTCTAAGGGATATTCTTGCCAGTATTTCAAAACAGGCTAGACATTCTCAAATGTTCTACAGTCAACTAAACAATTTCTGATTCTGATTATTTTTCTTTCTCCCCCCAGCGGAAACAAACAACCTCCAGTCTCTCCACACCATCCTGTCTACTGGATCTCCTCTCAAACCTCAAAGCTACGACTACGTGTACCGCTGCATCAAGAGCAACGTGCTGCTGGGCTCCATCTCAGGTGACGGATTCAGGCTGTTGACACATTTTTGTCATTTTTCTAAGAATTCAGTTCCATCTGAGGGTACACATAGCAGCAGCTTTTCCAAACGATTTTGCTGTGCGCTACATAAACCCATCAGCTACACACATACTGTACATGCAAATCAAAGCAACAAAGCATCTGCGATACAAAGGGACTGACACACACAAAGGAAAGTCAAAGCAAGAAAAAATTGCATAGAACTGTACATTTTCCACACCACCCACAATGCCATCACACACACACTCAGGCCCTCTCAGCCCATTGTTGTGTTGACAGGCATATAGAATGCTATCTGTCTCTCTGTGAGTCCTGAAACGTTTAACATTTAGCACAGCCTGGGTGACTGACGTATTACGGACACACACACACACACACACACACACACACACACACACACACACACACACACACACACGCACACGCACACGCACACACAGGGATGTACAAATCAAGTAACAGCTTGGAGCATCACACGTGCACATATAGCGGTGGATGCACACACGCACACACACACACACACACACACACACACACACACACACACACACACACACACACACACACACACACACACACACACACACTAGGGATGTGCATCTCCATCACTGAGGCCGATGCGATGCGCATCTCGATACGTTGCCAACGATACAATACATTAACGATACATTTTAAAACACCAGGCGATGCGAAACGATACGATTCACCCCTGTTGCGATACAGTTCGATACGATTTGATTCAACATTATGCTTTACATATTTGGTTCTCTCTACTAGTACTGCGCATCCCATCATGCTGTTTCTTTTTTTTACCTTTTTTACCTTAAAAAACTCTCCAGAGTACAGTACAATAACACCTCACAGTTAAACAATTTAAGAATGCATTGCCCATGATTAACAATGTGCAAATAACAACTACCATAGTGCAATGCCCATACAACTGCCAGCCTGATGTGCTTAACACTCATTCATAGGCTAACTCACCAGTGAGCAGAAAGCAGTGGTTTCTATATCAACAATAAAGAATACAAAGAACCTTTCACAAACAGGTATTTCATAACGGCTTACAATTGTAAGGAAGACATTTAACTATTATTGGCAGTCACAGGCTGTTGTAAACTAAACACCACTCTCACTGACATAACACCTCACTGAGTGATTGAACTCATATGTCTTACTTTCAGGTTTCTCTTTTCAGCCGCAGACCCCATGTCGCCTCTTTATGTGCGTCGCTAAGTTCCTCTTACTACTTGTGTACTTTAAAGCGGCACGGCAACGTTTACAATTTGCGAGCAATTTTTCAAGTTGACCGTCTTTCTTGAACAATCCGAAGTGTTGCTAAACGTTTGATTTGTAGGTATTTTTCGGTGCGCTGTGTTTCTCTTTCTCCTCAACTTCCATGTTTGTTGATAACTGAGACTCTCGGCCTCCGTAGTGGCGAAGCAAAGATCAAAGATCGTCTCTGCTGAGTGCTGACAGGATGAGAGGATATTATATGAATGAATCGTTTTTTTACCGATGCAAAGACGCTACAATCGATGCATCGTGAGTTCAACCCAAACTGTAGCCGATGTGCACTCTTTCAACCGGTGCACTCGCATTTTGAACGTTTATGCCGGTGCACCGATGCGAATCGGAGAATCTTAACATCCCTAACGCACGCACGCACGCACGCACGCACGCACACACACACACACACAATTACATACAGTTCGAGGGATTGGACACAAGCTGTGACTAAAATGTCACTTCGGAGAAAAAGGGTGGATGACATATTCTGTGCTTCGAGATTTGTCTTGGCAGATGAGAAGCGCTATATAAATTAAATGTATTATTATTATTATTATTTATTAATTTACATCTATATTTGTCTTTAGGGTATTTATGCATCACTTTTCTTTTGAGCTGAGGCGCAGGAAAAGAAGGGTAAAAGTAAAAGCTCAAAACCAGTAGGATGAAAAGACGAAAAAGGGCAGAAAAAAATTAAAGATGAAAGGGAAGGACTCAACTTGGCATTCTCTTTTTTGGTTTTCTACCATGGAAAGTAGATGTTCTTTTGTGTAAATACTTAAGAGCAGCAGGTCCTGCCACATCACTTTCCTCCTTGTCGCCAAGGGCAACAGCAGGCTCCACCTCTATTGGCTGCCAACCGACCTAACCTTGACCCGCGATGTCAACACATTCACTCTGCATGTGTGTGTGTGTGTTCTTAGGATTTATCACAGCATATGGGACTGACTGGTGGTCACGGTGACATATGTGATAGACCCCTTTGCCGATTTCACCGTGTGTGTGTGTGTGTGTGTGTTCCTTTCAGCAGGGATGTCAGACCCCCTCTGCTTCTCAATGGGGAATTTTAACACTTTCCTTCCTGGATTTCCTCCATCCTAATATACCTCCTTCTGACTGCCCATATGTCACCCCTCTGCTCCTTTTTGCTTCTCCTCTTCCCTGCTGCTCCCTCGTCTTCTCTCCTCTTCTTTCTCTCCTCTTCTTCCTCTCCTCTCCTCTTCTTTCTCTCCTCTTCTTTCTTTCCTCTTCTCTCCTCTTCTTTCTCTCCTTTCTTCTCGCCTCTTCTCTACTTTCCCTTTCTCGTCTCTTTTGTTCTTACTATGAAAAGTAAAAGTTGAAAAAGCCTTAGTTGAGTTGCTGTGTATGCTATACATGAATGTCTGCACAAGTATTGAACTAGTGGCGGAGAAGTCTTGCTGTGACTTTTATCATGTGCATTCCTTTTATAAATCATGTTTGAGTACATGAAGGCATGTGTAGGTTAGCTGGTTGTTTTTTCTGTCTCAGTCGGGGCCTTTGTCTGACCCCAAACTGCGCCAGAGGTTGCTCAAAGTACCCTCACTACACAATGAAAGCACATGCGCACAAATATGAACACACAATCTGTGGAGTTCAAACTTTGTTTTTTTCTCACTGTTCAGAACAGAGTGGTGTTTGAAACATCAGATCAGTGTGATAAGTGTGTATACACACAATACACTTACACACAGTCGCTGATGATGGAAGGCTGCTTGGCCACAAAATATTCTTGTGGGTATTGTTTATGTACACACCTTTTTTTAAATGAGTGTAATAATAAAATAATTGTGTGTCTTTGCACTATAAGTGTGTGTGTTTAATCAAAAGACCATCCACTTCCTCCCGGGAGCCAATTATAGCTTGATAAAGAACCTGGCAGAGAGAAAACAAGTGTAAAGAACAGAATGAAAAGCAAGAGAGGAGGAAAGAGAGGTAGAAGAGCAGAGAGAGGAAGGGAACAAGATGGATGGAGCCTGCGATACAGAGAGGGAACGAAACAGGGATGTAGAGATGAAACAATGGGAAGGGAGATGAATGGAAAGTGTCAGAAAAAGTAGATGATTGGAAGGTAGAAAGAGACAAATGCATTGTGTGTGTGTGTGTGTGTGTGTGTGTGTGTGTGTGTGTGTGTGTGTGTGTGTGTGTGTGTGTGTGTGTGTGTGTGTGTGTGTGTGTGTGTGTGTGTGTGTGTGTGTGTGTGTGTGTGTGTGTGTGTGTGTGTGTGTGTGTGTGTGTGTGTGTGTGTGTGTGTGTGTGTGTGTGTGTGTGTGTGTGTGTGTGTGTGTGTGTGTGTGTGTGTGTTGTGTGTGTGTGTGTGTGTGTGTGTGTGTGTGTGTGGTGTGTGTGTGTGTGTGTGTGTGGTGTGTGTGTGTGTGTGTGTGTGTGTGTGTGTGTGTGTGTGTGTGTGTGTTTTAAGAATGTGCCACAACAGTATAGAAGTCTTATATAGGTCGATGGAGGTGTAGCAGGTTACTGACACTGCTAGTTTTTTGCGAGATTGATACCTTTTTAATAGTTAAGTAATGTTTCATGTCGACAGTCAGCGTGATGCTTTACCACAGGGGTGGCGAACCTCCGGCCTCCGACCATTTGGTACGGCCCTCGAGGTAATTTATTTGAATTTGAATTTAACACACGCAAAAAAGAAAAAAAAAGAAAGAAATCTAGACCGCAAAATAATTAAACAAGCGAGTGCCTGTTTTTCCTGGCCAAGGTCAGGGTCCGTGAACATAACACGAGCCTAACGTGTCATCACGTGGTATATGTCTGGTCTGACAGGGGTGCAGTTCTGACGGAGAGCACCAGAACACCACTCCGCCACTTCAGAAATTGCACTTACCCATAAGGAGCCGTACAAATGCCGCAGTTTTTGCGTGGCTGTGTCTTTAGTTGAAAGCCCAGTGGCGATCTGTTCATCTGTCATACTGATCATACAGTCAATAACTTTGTTGTTATTAGCATCTGGTTAGCTAGCTATGCTAACTAATATAAGAAGCTTCTACAACCAGTAAGGTAAAGGCACATCTTTATATGATCATTATAGTTATAAAAAAATAAGAGAATAAAGTAAACGGGTATGAAATACTATATGACAGTAACAAAAAGTTGTTATTAATAAACAAGAATACAGTTTGAAAGGGGAGTGATTTGTAAAATATCCATAAAGAAAAAGAAAATCTGCTTACAGTTCTGTTTCATATGGGTGTTGAGAGATGTATCCATAGATCTCCTAATGTTGCTCTCAAAGTGCACTAGATTGATGCTTTTAAAAAAATCTTCCCGGGGCACCATGCCCCCGGACCCCCCTAGAGGAGGCTAGGTCCCCCCCCCACTTAAATCATGTTCACATGGATAGGAAACACATCTTGTGTCCATCCATATCTTTCTGTTTTGGTGGTCATGCCACAACCGTGCACGTGCATGCATGCGCGAGTCATGGTAAGATATCTGGATTAAGAGGTTGCTTTTTCTTTGCACAGCATGAAAGAAAGGCGAAATGAATGGGCTGTGATTTTAGTTTTTTTTAAGCAGAGGTCAATCATTTGTACGGCCCTCGGAGGATGTTGAAAAAATTGAAATGGCCCTTGAGAGGAAAAAGGTTCCCCACCCCTGCTTTACCACATTGGTATAAAAATCTGTTTCCGTTTGAGACTGATTTCTTGAAATATATATAATATCAGCTTTATTCAACTTAAAGCTAAATTAATTGATTGTATCAAGGGTAGGGTGAAGAACTGCCACACATGTTTTCACATTATTAGTACATATATGTGATTATTAACTTCCAGGTTTGTCGATGAATCATAGATATTCTTTCTAATTTGTATAATGTGACCTTGCTTTGCTCCAGCTTTTATGGTACATTTTAGTATTTTCTATATATTTAGAGTTTTGGAACAAACATGCAATTTGAGGTTGAATCATCCATTAAATGCAGGGTTGGTGGTTTAATCTCTGCCTCTCTGGGCCTTGCAATGACCTCTCACTCTGTGTAAGTGTGTGAATATGAGACACTTTGGATAAATGCACTATATACATACTGTTTACTTTAATACATCTTTATGGATAATATCAAAAGATCATCAAAGATCCAGTAGACATGATGCAAGTTTATCATTCATGATCATGTCTTGTTATAATTCCAAAATGATGATTAGCTCTGTATTGGTCTTCATCACCTACTGAGAAGAATACCTGGTTAGTGTTAGGGTTAGGGATAGGGTTCAGTTGCTGGGCATTGTAGTATTATCCGACTGGAACCCTTTTGAAAACAGCCTCTCCTGGAAAAGTTGTTAATGATGGCAGTGTAATACACTACAACCACTTTAAAACAAAACACTTTTTAAAGGTGCAGATGTTCCCTTTCATTTCAGACCATCATGCCACTAAACCTCTCCCTCTTTGTCTGCTTTTCTCCTCCTGCGCAGGCGGCACAGACATAGTGTCATGTTTCATGGGTCAGAACCCAACAGTTCCAGTGTACCGTGGCGAGATCCAGACCAGAAACCTTGGCATTGCTGTGGAAGCCTGGAGCCCTGATGGTAAGAGATGGTGTGTGTATGGGTGTGTGTATTTGTTTCCAGAGTGGCTGAAATTGCTCAGAAATGTAAAGCCATTGATTTTCTCTCTATTCAACCAAAAGTGTATCAAGAGGATTTTTGAATCTATATTTGCAACAGTCTAGGGATCACATTGAGTTGTTGTAAAGTGGCTTTGCATTCTAGAAGGAATTAAAAAGAATATTAATGATGAAATGTAATCAGAAGCCATTCATAAAACTGCTGGGATGCCCTTGAGCAAACTTCCCATCTGCTTCTGGAACTGCTTCGAAGCTAACAGAATCAGACTGTAGTTATACTTGGTTGCATCCATATGTCGATGTACATACGAATTGGCATGAATTTGAAGCTAGCCATGCTGAAATTGCAAGAGTAATTAGTGAACTCTCCCCGTGTAAATATAGGTTAACACTTTAAAGAAATACTTTTTTTTCCATTATGGCCCATGTGAAAAAGGAGAGATTTTCATCTTGCTGGGAGTCTTCAAAGCCCTTTATGTTTTTCTCATTGATTTTGCTCCCGCTGCAGGCTGTACTGGCACGTCTCCACCACCTCAAAGGAGGGTGGATAGAGGGATAATTTAAAGGCAGTTTTGTAGGAAGAGTTTGAGATTATTTGAGTGGGCCTGTAAGTCTATAACACCATCCTGAGGGAGGAGCTGTGGTCTGTGTGATCAGTTTCTCTGAGTGGGGGATACATTACCAGCTGTTTCCTTTTCTTTGATCGGAGAATGATTTATGTGTGTGTTCATAGGTGTGTGTCCAAGTGTAGGTGTGTGTATCTGTAAGCCTCTAACTTTATTGTTTCTTCTTGTGAAATCTGTGTGTGTGTGGACAGGTAAGCCCGTGTGGGGGGAGAGTGGGGAGCTCGTCTGCTTGAAACCGATCCCCTGCCAGCCAACACACTTCTGGAATGACGAGAACAGGAGCAAATACCACAAAGCGTACTTTTCTACATATCCTGGTTAGTACAGAAACATCTTAATACAAAGGAAATGACAGTATACATATACAAAGAACCCAGAAATGGAAACACTCATAGGATATAATGCATTCAACATTTAGTTTAATGTGTTTTTAATATCACCACTTTCTTTTTCCCTAGGGGTGTGGGCTCATGGAGACTACTGTAAAATCAACCCAAAGACAGGAGGCATTGTCATGCTGGGCAGAAGGTCAGCCATTAACCGTTTCACTCTTGGGAGAGCTACCAAACATGATTTATTTCTAGTCTTTTAGATGTTTAACTTGTGTTTTTTCTGCAGTGACGGTACATTAAACCCCAACGGAGTCCGATTTGGCAGCTCAGAAATCTACAACATTGGTGAGTCTTTAACAATATACAGTAAGAAAGGATGATATGATGAAAGAACACTGTGTTTTTGTGTTGGTGAAAAAAATATTTTTCCCTCCCATCATCCCATTTTTTGAAGTTTGTTCATTTGTTTGAAGGCAACATTTATTCATACTGTGCTTAGTTTGGAAGTTGTTGCTGTTTGTTCTTGCCTCTGTCAAACTCTCTTTTCTCCCTCACTCTCTTTACCTCTTACCTCCTCTCCTCTCCTCGTCTCTCATCTTCTTCTCCTCGTCTTCTACTCTGCCCTTTCCTCTCCTCTCTGCAGTGGAGGCGTTCGAGGAGGTGACAGACAGTCTTTGCGTTCCTCAGTACAATAACGACGGAGAAGAGCGAGTTATTTTGTTCTTAAAGATGGCATCTGGTAAGCCCTTCTGCCCGGAGTTGGTGGGCAAGATTAAAGGAGCCATTCGAAAAGCTCTGTCTGCCCGACACGTCCCCGCTCTGATGCTGGAGACCAGAGACATTCCTGTAAGAGAAACATGAACATCAAATCAGATACCAGAGAACCTGTCAAATGATCCTGTCACAACTATAAAAGTCAGTTCCAGCTTGAATGACAGCCATTTTTTCTCTTCGTCCCTCTGCAGTACACCATCAGCGGAAAGAAGGTGGAGGTGGCCGTGAAACAGGTGATTGCTGGCCGGGAGGTGGCGCAAAGAGGCACTTTCTCCAACCCAGATTCACTGGATCTCTTCAAGAACATTCCTGAACTGCAGCACTTTTAGAGATGAGGCTTCACTGAGCTGGAGAGAAGAAAATATAACCACCTGACATTAGCTTTTAATTTAACTTCATTCATATTTACAGATGCAGGGAGATATGCAAAGTGCATCGCAGGGAGTGTTTGGAAAGGAAGCCACCTTGATCTTTGTACAGGGAATAACAAAAAGATTAAATATGTATGTCGGAAAATGTAAACTTGATACAAATATGTAAATAAGTCTGTGGTATCAGAAAGAAGAGTCGTACTGCTCCATTGGCTAGATTGTAATCAAGTGATTCAGCAGCTGCTCTTAGTCTACCATGCTGTGAAGGAGAATGTTGGATGCCTGATGTAATATGATGTGCACAGCAGTACTTGGGAATAAGCTCATGCTCTAAAACCACCATAATGGAGAAGTGTAATTTAGATGCTATGAGCCAGTGAGGAGCCATATCTCCCTGTGTCACCTGCTTAACCCGAGTGTTGGTTCCTACACTTAAAATCCATGGATGTGTGCAGATAAAGTCGCACACAAACACCTGGGATTAATATCATATCATTGTTACGTGGTGTGTAGTACTTTATTGAATGTATATATATGGGTATATATTTGTCAGACTGTTAAATGATGTTATAACATTATAATTATGCATTTTGAAGTTACTGTTAATCAAATGAGTCTCAGATGTAAAGGGTTCTAACATGTCAGGAGATTTTAGATTTAAATGAAAACCTACTGAACTTTTCCAAGCCTAAATAAAACATGTTAAAATCCTTGAAAAATAATTTGACTTTGTAACCATTGTCTCTTTCATTCCGCTCGGTACATCAAGGCAGGAAATGATCAACAAGTCAGTATGTCAAGTGTGTTGTGAAAGTGAGCAAAGGTTAACACCATAAAAGCCTCTTATTGTTATTTCATTGTTGTTCATAACAAAATAAAAATGTGTTCCCTACTTCAGAACAGCCTGATTTTGCTTTGTACATTGCAAAGCTTAGTGATGTATTTGGTTGTTTGTTTGTTTGTTTGGCAGGTATTCGAAATTCAATTGTAAGATTCTGTTTTTTTAACCCCCTAGGGATACAAACAAAAATTAAATATCCCAAACCTTTTGTAAAGTGTTTATTCAATAATAAATAGAAAATACAAACAACAATAATAAATCAGAATAACTCAATTATATACTGAAGGTGACTACCCTGGTTGAATTATTAAAATTGTCCTAATCCCGTAAGGCAATGCCTGAAGGCTAGTTAATGATATCAAAGATGAGCTGCAGTGTTAAAGGTCACCTGTATCACTACTCAGCATTATCAGTGAACAATACAAAATATCACTGGTTCCATTTCCTGTTGGAAAAAAACCTGGCGAGATGTGATTTGTGTTAAACTCACAGATACATATCAGAGAAGCAATTGATGTATAGGGGGAAATGTAGGGTTTTATGCTGATACAGGGTTAGTATTCCTGCTGGACTTTGTGTCGTTTCTTATGGTTCTTGGCCAAGTCTCACATTTTTAAACCATGTCTAAAATTCTGCAGTTCATCTTCAATGTCATATTCACTGTGTAGACTTAATACATGTTCCTCTTTATGGTATCCTGTGGAGTTTTGTCCACTTTTAGCACTGTGGGGCAATATTTTAATGATCCTCATTTATAAACGGTGCGTACGCACTGTTTGCGATTTATAAAAAACAAACTTGACGGGAAAATGTGCGGTTCTCCACGCAAACTCTGACCCATGCGTACGCACTAAGCACAAAAACGGGAGAGACGAGAAACTGCGACACCGTTGGCAGAAGGAAGAATGGAGAGAAATATGTGGAAATAATACCATAAATAAAATGTTCCCTCTCATTTATCATATATGAAGAATTCATTTTCACAAATTGATTGAAGCCAATCTTAAAATGATTTAACAAACGCCTGTTTGAGACTCCTCAGTGCACACAAAAACATAACTTGGATAAATAAATAAATACGGAAATGTTATTGATCACCCCTCGATTATGTTCTCTCGTTAAGAAATGTATTCTCATAAATGATGCAGTAAACAGAAGGATATAATTACTTTAAACTGAGGCCGTGACTCCACTCCGGAGGGATTCCCCGATCATTTCTTAGAGTTTCTCATCAAGGGGGTGTCTCCTGTCCCCGGGACAAACACACTGCCTGAGGAAGGCTATGTGTATTTTCTTTGTCATTAACTTTTTTCGGACCACTTATTTATTTATTTTGGTGACGATCCGACCTCCATGCTGCTACTCTGGTTCAAACTGCATCCACCAAACAATATGATTTATCTCGACCTCCCCAAAATAACCAAAATCTGACACGGTGTGAGATGTCTTTTTTAGCTGTTCTGTCGTCATTTCCCCTATTGGCTGCACATTGGGGGCCGCCAGTGACCATTTATGGCGCATTTCCACCATGGCACGGAGCGCGGTTTAAGCGTGCCGTGTCGTGCCGGGCCCGTTTTTGGTTGCGTTTCCACTATGCCTAGTTCCGGCCCGTGGCTACTTTTTCACTTTTTTTCTGGCCCGACAAAATCGTGGTTCTATCGGGGCCAACAAACAGGGCTGAGTCGGGCTGAGTTTGCTAAACTAGGGAGAGAATCGCTGGCAAGGGGGCTACAACTACAACAAGATGAACATATTTGACCGTGATTTAATTGTAATACACGTTTCAAAATGATGCCGAAGTAACAACATACTGATACCGGTTAGTAAAAACCATGAATTAATGCTTTGACAAGTCTGCAGACAGACGGCAGGTGAAAAACCTTTTAAAATGCGTGTTGTCTAAATGGAGATCGGCTAAGCTAACGCAATATATGCTCCGACCGTCCACACTCTCAACAACGGGGTGCTCATTGAAGATGACGTCACGGCTCCGCCTACACTGCGTTACTATAGATACTACCCCAGTTCTTAAACTGTAATGGAAGCGCAACATTAAAGTGAGCTGGGGCCTAACAAGGCCTAACAAAACCGTACTAAGTCAAGCGAGGCCTGCGGTGGAAATGCGCCATTAGACTAAAGTGAACTATCTAAACACTCAGAGAGTCCTTTACCTCACTGAGCTGTAGTTATCAGCCTCAATCCAACAACAATCCGCGTTACCGATGCATGTAAATGTATTACATCAAGGGCAGAAAATTAGGCGCCCCTCCAGATCTGGGGCCTCATTTATAACGCCTTGCGTAGGATTGACGTGGGAAGGTTGCTTACGTAGTACAAAACAAAAAAATAGGTACAGACATTTTCCGACATTTTCCGATTCACAAAACATTGCGTACCGGCGAGGGAAGTGCGTACGGCACTTCCTACGCCTGTTTCCCTTTATAAATCACAATCGACTCGTAACGCCCATATTTGCCTATAAATAGTCAAAGAAACGCCCATTCATTCATTCATTTTGACTGACTGCATGAAGAAGATCGCAGGAAATTATGACAGAACAGCTAAAAAAGACATCTCACATCGTGTCAGATTTTGGTTATTTTGGGGAGGTCGAGATAAATCATATTGTTTGGTGGATGCAGTTTGAACCAGAGTAGCAGCATGGAGGTCGGATCGTCACCAAAATAAATAAATAAGTGGTCCGAAAAAAGTTAATGACAAAAAAAATACACATAACCTTCCTCAGGCAGTGGCCGTTTCTCAATCGCGAGGATGCTGGCTTGGTAGCACAGCCGAGCCGAGCATCTTGCTTCAGAAGCAAGGCAAGAATACTTCCTGGCATTCGGAAAACAAAGAGTGGAACAGGCTAGCAAGTGTGCAGGTGTGCGTCATATGAGAGGCCCCGCCTTACATCTTCCGCCACAGATTTGGGGAAATTGGTCCATGTGCAAAGCATTGTGGGGATTTTAAGGACGCGAAGTCTACCCATGTGCAGCCTCGAAATTTCCCCCAAACCAAGGACGCGGCCTCGGTGGAATTCCAAGTATGCTGGAGATTGGAACAGTCCTTCGGCGGCACTCGATGACGTAGCATCCTTGAAATATTGGCTTGGAAGCCAATATCCTCGCGATTGAGAAACGGCCAGTGTGTTTGTACCGGGGACAGGAGACACCCCCTTGATGAGAAACTGTAAGAAATGATCGGGGAATCCCTCCGGAGTGGAGTCATGACGACTGGATCTGAATTATTGTGTTGTATTTGGTGGTTTGTGTTCCAGCTGTCGATCAGCAACTATATATCCATAATCCACCAGTTAAAGGAAATACAACTAATGTGTTGTGTTATATTAGCTGTACAATTTACCACATAGGCCTATGGTGTTCTTGGTTTCCATACCTCCTGTGTTTTTCCAGCGACTTATCAAGTCTTGGCAAACGGCATAAAACACGATTAAACGTGATAGTATATAAAACCATGCTCGTATCTACAACCTATAGAAATGCAAAACGGCGTCAGTTTAGACGTAATTCTGTCCTCCTGCTTACCGCATCATTTATGAGAAAACATTTCATAACATGAACACAACATATTCGAGGTGGTTTTAAATAACATATCCGTATTTATTTATTTCTCCAAGTTATGTTTTTGTGTGAACTGAGGAGTCTCAAACAGACGTTTGTTTAATCATTTTAAGATTGGCTTCAATCAATTTGTGAAAATGAATTCTTCATATGATAAATGAGAGGGAACATTTTATTTATGGTATTATTTCCACATATTTCTCTCCATTCTTCCTTCTGCCAACGGTGTCGCAGTTTCTCGTCTCTCCCGTTGTTGTGCTTAGTGCGTACGCATGGGTTAGAGTTTGCGTGGAGGACCGCACATTTTCCCGTCAAGTTAGTATTGTATAAATCGCAAACATTGCGTAGAAACTGGCGTACGCCATTTTTTGAGTATATCCCTTTATAAATGAGGCCCCTGGTGCCTAGGGCCGGCCCTGTCTCGACCTCCCAAATGAATGGGCGTTTCTTTGACTATTTATAGGCAAATATGGGCGTTACGTGAAGCCCGCAAAAGCTGCACCGCATTTCGAGTTGATTGTGATTTATAAAGGGAAACCGGCATAGGATGTGCCGTATGCAAGTCCTGCGCCGGTACGCAGTCTTTTATGAATCGGAAAATGCCTGTGCGTATTTATTTGCAACCTTCCCACGTCAATCCTACGTAAGGCTTTATAAATGAGGACCCTGGTCCCCATTTTGTTTGACGGGATAAATATTCCTGTCAATGTGTGATTAATGGTGTCACACTATTCCACTATTTGGCTGGGGGCATAAAAAGTTCCAATGGTCCAGCAAGATGTAGGCGTGAAGAAGACAAGCTGCACACTGGCCAATGAAAACAATGCAGGATTTAAGTCTTCTGATGCTGAGGTTTACAAGGCTTCCAGGATAAACATAAAGCTTTTTAGTAAGAAATACTAACGTAAACATAACTTTATATCTCTAAAAAGAATCCTGCATGGTACTGTCTTTTACAAGTCTCAAAGATTCGTACGCTTTCTCTTGCAGAGACGGCTATGATAACTGTACACTTTGCACTTTAGTAATGTATACTCTACGTGACATAGTCTATAATGCAATCTGGTGAAAGATGGCAGATCTACTCTTCCACTCTGCAGTATGTATGCAGGTTAGGTCTTCTAGGGTGTCTGTCACATAATATGTTGATTGTATTTTTGTGTATTTCTACAGTAGATTTGTGTTGCTCTTTTACCTGACAACTTGATAATGGTCATTGTTTATGTCTAGTTTATGTAGGAAGTTGGTGGAGCCATGAATGGATGTGAACTCATCTCATTCACACCTTAGTGATGTTCCGTTTTCAGGGGTGTATTGCAAGAATTTTCAGTGGTGTACTAAGAGAGATTTTGTTGTCAGCAGGATATATTTTCTGGTTGACAACTGTCAGCTACCCAATAAAGTAGAGCCACCCTGAGAGCAAAAGCTCAAACAAACAAACGTGTTTCAAAACTTCAGCCTGCAGATTTACACCATGC